TTCTGTTTTGTCAGTTCATTTGTATCATTTCTTTTTAGATTCCAAATATAAAGAATTTCATATGATATTTCTCCTTAAGGTCTATGTTTCCTTATTGATTTTCTGTCTGATCTGTCCATTGATGAAAGTGGGATATTAAAATCCCCTACTATTGTTGTGTTACTGTCAATTTCTCCCTTTATGTTTGTTAGCATTTGCCTTACATATTGAGATGCCCCTATGTTGAATATATATATAATTGTCATATCTTCTTCTTGGATTGAACCCTTCATGATTATGTAGTATCTTTGTTTCTTATAACAGTCTTCATTTTAAATTCTATTTTGTCTCATATGAGTATTGCTATGCCAGCTTTATTATGATTTCCACTTGCATGAAATACCTCCTCCCATCCCCTTTCAGTCTGTAAGTGTCTGTAGGTCTGAGGTGTGTCTCTCATGGACAACATATGTATGCGTATTGTTTTTGTATCCTCCCAGCCAGTCTATGTCTTTTGATTGGTGCATTTAATCCATTTGAAAGAAAATGAAACTGAGAGTCATTCAGTCATGTCCAGCCCTTTGCGACCCCATAGACTCTATAGTCCATGGAATCTCTAGGCCAGAATACTGCAGTGGGTAGCCATTCCCTTCTTCAGGGGATCTTCCCAATCTAGGGATCGATCCCAGGTTTCCCCGCACTGCTGGCAGATTCTTTACCAGCTGAGCCACCAGGGAAACCCTTTAATCCATTTACATTTAAAGTAATTATCTATATGTGTGATCCTATTACCATTTTGTTAATTGTATGGGGTTTATTTTTTTTGTAGATCTTTTCCTCCTCTTGTGTTTCCTGCCTGGAGAAGTTCCTTTAGCATTTGTTGTAAAACTGGTTTAGTGGTGCTGAATTCTCTTAACTTTGTCTGGAAAGTTTTTGATTTTGCCATCAGATCTGAAGGAGAGTCTTGCTGGGGAGAGTACGCTTGGTTGTAGGGTCTTCCCTTTCATCACTTGGAATATATCGTGCCATTCCCTTCTGGTTTGTAGAGTTTCTGTTGAGAAATCAGTTGATAACATTATGGCATTTCCCTTGTATGTTATTTGTCTTTTTTCCCTTGTTGCTTTTAACATCTTATCTTTAATTTTTGTCAGTTTGATTAGTATGTGTCTTGGTGTGTTCCTCCTTGGGTTTAGCCTGCCTGGTCCCTCTGAGCTTCCTGGACTTGGCTGACTATTTCATTTCCCATGTTGGGGAAGTTTTCAGCTATTATCTCTTCAAATATTTTTTCAGGGTTTTTCTCTCTCTTCTGAGACATCTATAATGGGAATATTGGTGCATTTAATGTTGTCTCAGAGTTCTCTTAGGCTGTCTTTATTTCTTTTCATTCTTCTATATTCTGTTTTACAACAGTGATTTCCACCATTTCACCTTCCAGATCATTTATCCATTTCATTTATCCAGGATTTATCTTGTTCCTTCATCTGGGACATAATCCTATTTCTTATTTTGGTTAGCTTTCTGTGATTGTGGCACTAGGTCTGGAAGCTATGGGATTGTAGTCCTTGTGCCCTCTGGTGGATGAGGATAAAAGGCTTGTGCAAGCCTCCTGATGGGAGGGACTGGTTGTGGGGATAACTGGGTCTTACTCTGGTGGCCAGGGTCATGCTCAGTAAAATTTTAAGTCAATTGTCTGCTGATGGGTGGGTTGCACTCCCTCCCTGTTAGTTGTTTTGCCTGAGGTAACCCAGTCCTGGAGTCTACAGGCTCTATGGTATGGCTATTGGCAACCTCCAAGAGGATTTACACCTGACTGCTGCTGCCAGTGCCCCTGGCCACATGGTGGGCAATTGCTGACCCACAGCTCTGCAGGAGATCCTCAGACACTCACAGGTAGGTCTGACTCACTGTTCTATGGAGTCACTGTTCCTTTCCTCTGGGTTCTGGTGCACACAAGGTTTGTTTGCGCCTCCCAAGAGTGGAGTCTTTGTTTCCCCCAGTCCTATGGAGGTCCTGTAATCAAATTTCACTGGCCTTCAAAGTCAGATTCCCTAGGAATTCTCAGTACTTTTGCTAATCCCCAAGCTGGGGAGTCTGATGTGTGGCTTAGAACCTTCACAACAGTGTGAGAACTTCTTTGGTATTATTGTTCTCCAGTTTGTGGGTCACCTGACAAGTATAGGATTTGATTTTATTGTGATTGTGCCCCTTTTACCATCTTGTTGGAGTTTCCCCATTGTCCTTGGATGTCGGGTATCTTTTCTTGGTGGGTTCCAGTGTCTTTCTGTCTATGGTTGTTCAACAACTAGTTGTGATTTTGGTGTTCTTGGTTTTGGGGTTTTGTTCATTTGTTTGTTTGGCCCTAACCGGGAACCCTGCAGTGGAAGTGCAGAGTCCTAAGCACTGGGAAGCCAGGGAATTCCCTGTTATATCTCTTATATATCTTTTCAAAAATATATTCAAAAACTATTCCCTATCATAAAGGGGGAAGTTATAAACTTCACATCAAGATCAAGTGCCTTTGGCCCATGTCTAATCAAATTATGATAGATAAACTGAGAACACAAGATATAGAGCAACTGAGAATGTTTTTTCTAGAAGAGAAAGACTGAAGCAAAGAGAAATAAAAATACAGAAAGCTTCTTTTCCAAGGCAGAATACAATCCTGACACTCCTGATAATGTGTTATGCAGGTTTTTTTCTCCCACGTTTCTCCTGACACCAGCTGGGTATCCTACAATTCAACTCAACTCTGACACTATCTACCCAGAGAAAGCATTAGATTCCATAGGTGAAGAGATTAGTCCCATAAGACTACCCTTACTTCAGTCACAAGACTAGGTTGTCTGTGCTTCTAACCAACTGGCTATAAATCAGAGGTTCCCATGACACCTTCCTTGGGTTTCATTAATTTGAAAGTGGCTCAGAAAACTCAGGAAATCTGTTTACTTACCTGAGTACCATTTTATTACAAAGGATATTAAAGAATAGGAATCAACAGCTGGATGAAGACATACATAGGACTCAAACAAAAGAGCTTCTGTGCTCACGAGTTTAGATATGGCTAGGCAGCCTATGAATGTGATCTAGTTCATCAACCTAGAGGCTCTCTGAACCCTCCCCATCCTCTTTGGTTTTTTAATGGAAGCTTCCTCACATAATCTTAACTGATTGAATCACTGCCCATTGGTAACTGATTCAAACTCCAGCCCCTCTCCCCTCCCTAAAAATCAATAGGGTTGAAAGTTCCAGTCCTCTAATCAGGGTTGGTTCCCTGGGCAACTAGTCCCCCATCTTTAGAAGATTTCCAAAAGTCACCTCATTAACAAAATCAGTTAAGGCCACTTCATTAACATGAAGCCAGTTGTGGTTGAAAGGAGCTTAATGTAAATATCAAGACTCCCATTTCACCTTTATGGCTCTGGGGAAATTTCAAAAACTGAGGAAAAAAGACAAAAGTATTATAACAAAAGATGCTCCCATTGCTCTTATGGATTAGGAAATTCTAAGAATTTGGGGAGTTGTGAGCCAGGAGTCATGGACAAAGACTAAAATATATAGTGTTATCCATCACAATATCACACAAGAATATTGTGGTCCAATATTGTGGGTAAGTGGGAAAAATCATTTTACAGAGAGAGAGTAGTTCTGTACATACACAGATTTATTTTATAAATTGTATCTTAGTAACAGAACTCTCATTTTATTCAGGCAGCAAAGTAAACAACTTTAAAGTTTTCCTAGTCAAAGTTGTATCTTGATAAATTCTGAAATATGTACAGACAGTCCCTGACTTATAATGGTTCTACTGACGATTTTTCTACTTTTATGTTTTATGATGGTGAAAAGCAATATGCATTCAGTAGAAACCATACTTCAGTTTTGAATCTTGATATTTTCCCAGGTTAGAGAATAAAGAGTACGGAAATACACAGAAAGACATTTTGTGTGCTTGACTGGAAGACAATATTGTTAAAAATGTCAATACCGCTCAAAGAAGTCTATAACTGGTAGCACTGTTGTATTGAACAACATTTCTTCCGAGTTGGCTCAGAGTTACAATGCATTTAGCATATTAAAGCTGACAACATGGAGACTTTTTGCAGGCCTTCCCAGACAGTGGAGTTTTCCTGCTAATTTGCCACACTAGGTTATAAAATATCTCATTAACAGTTATTTTCTATTTTGCAGAGGAGTCTAACAACACACAGTTGTTCCATTTTCTTGTTGGACTTCAATTTGTTCCTTTCTTACAACTCCATCATCTTCCAAGTCATACTTATTACCAACAAGAGTTTTGGAACATCATCAGTGTCTTTAACTTAAAGAATCTGTTCTCTCAGATCTTAAGTATCATTAAATGTGAACTATGCTGTGTAGGAATAAAATAAAGCAAAGCCTTGTCCATGTTTCATGAACAAATCTATCATCACTGTAAAGGGCTTATTTCTATATTATCCAAGATTTCAAGTGTATACTGTTTTGCATCTACTTTATCTTGCTTTTTATAATAATTTTCTATTGTAGGATTACATTTTCAACAAAAATTCCTTGAATAAAGTGTACAGTGAGAGTCAATTTTCCGATGTCTCCTGAACCAAGAACTGCTAGTTTATACTCACACATAGTGCAAACTTGTAAGAGCTAGTACCTCACACAGTGTCCCCGGGGCCCTGCAGCCAAGAGCCTTGAGCTCCCCCTGCGTCGAGGCTTCTGCCACCAAGTCTGTCCTGTTGCTGCAGCTGCCAGGGCTGGTTTGTTTAGAAGCCTGACTCTGGGCAAGGTTTACCCTCTCTTCTCAATTTCAGGATCAGCTTGTTAAGCTCAGTAAAGATTTCTGCTGAGATGTTGATTAAGATTAAAATGAAATTATATGGTTGTTTGGAAGGGGAAGTTGACATTTTTAATGTTTAGTCACTATTCAAATCATTTATGCTCTTTAAAACAATTTTATAGCTTATTTCATCTAGTCCTTACACATTTCATTAAAATGTATTCTTAGGCATTTTATAACATGTATTTTTATGTTATTGTACATAGGATTTTTTTCATCACGGCCTACGACGTGTGGAATCTTAACTTCCCGACCAGGGATCAAACCCGGGCCCTCAAAAGTGAAAGGTATAAATTTGTTAGTTTTAGAGAAAGTATACCTCCTGTTCATATTATATTGGGAAATATGAGTGAGCAATATGGTTTTTTGGTTTTGTTTTTAGTATTAATTAGTTTTTATTTCAGTAGACATGTGGGAATCCACCAAATATTTGTTTGAAGACAGAAACTTGATATGCAACCCTTTTCCCTCAACATATTAGATTTTTAAAAATATTTTAATTTTATTGGATTAGTTTCAGGTGTACAGCAAAATGATATAGTTATACATATATTCATTCTTTTTTAGAGTCTTTTCTCATATAGGTTATCACAGAATATATGATAGGGTTCCCTGTGCTGTACAGTAGGTCTCTATCAGTCATCTGTCTTATATATATCAGTGTGTGTGTGTTTGTGTGTGCACTTATGCCACATGCAATAAATCTTATAGAAGAATTGTTTTCTATAAAATCATTTAGCTAATTAACTGGCAATACTTCCCTAATTATGCTTGATATGCTGAGTAGGTTGATTGTTATAAAAGATCAGTAGAGTCATGGGCAATGAACTAATTATCAGAAATGTGATGAAGTTACATAGTCCTTGTTAAATGTAGTTTGAATTTCAAGCAAAGACGTCATTTTTACTGACAAATATTCTACAATAACAAAATTAATAAAACATTACTGTGGTACATGTGATGTGGTATGGATTATTGTTTCATGTGTAGTAATGACTTAAATTAATACATTCATGTAATACATTACAATTCTTATTATAAATAGACATTCAGAGCATTTCGTTTATTGATGAAACTAAGGTGAAGAGTTGAACTAGTCTGTGATTACATTCCTAGAAAACTACACTTTGTAACAAAATGCCTACTATTAAAGTACTGCACTCAATGTAACAGCAAATTTGGAAAATGACAGTGGCCACAAACTGGAAAAGGTCCATTTTCATTTCAATCCCAAAGAAGGGCAATGCCAAAGAATGTTCAAACTACCACACAGTTGCTCCCATTTTACATGCCAGCAAGGTAATGCTCAAAATTCTTCAAGTTAGGCTTCAACAGTATGTGAACCAAGAACTTACAGATGTAAAAGCTGGATTTAGAAAAGGCAGAAGAACCAGAGATAAAATTTCCAATATCTGTTGGATCATAGAAAAAGCAAGAGAGCTCCAAAAAAAATCTACTTCTGCTTTATTGTCTATGCTAAAGCCTTTGATTGTGTAGATCACAACAAACTGGAAAATTCTTCAAGAGATGGGAAGACCAGACCACCTTCCCTGCCTTCTGAGAAATCTGTATGCAGGTCAAGAAGCAACAGTTAGAACTGGACATGGAACAATGGACTGGTTCCAAATTGGGAAAGGAGTGTATCAAAGCTGTATATTGTCACCCTGCTTATTTAACTTCTACACAGAGTACATCATGTGAAATGCAGGGCTGGGTGAAGCACAAGCTGGGATCAAGATTGCTGGGAGAAATATCAACAACCTCAGATATGCAGATGACACCACCCTTATGGCAGAAAGTGAAGAGGAACTAAAGAGCCTCTTGATGAAAGTGAGAGGAGAGTGTAAAAGCTGGCTTAAAACTTAACATTCAGAAAATTAAGATCATGGCATTTGGTCCCATCACTTCATGGCAAATAGATGGATAAAAAATGGAAACAGTGACAGACTTTATTTTCTTGGGCTCCAAAATCAGTGTGGATGGTGATTGCAGCCATGAAATTAAAAGATGCTTGCTCCTTGGAAGAAAAGCTATGACAAACCTAACCAGCATATTAAAAAGCAGAGACACTACTTTGCTGACAAAGGTCTATATAGTCAAAGCTATAGTTTTTCCAGTGGTCATGTATGGATATGAGAGCTGGACCATAAGAAAGGCTGAACACCAAAGAATCAATACTTTCAAACTGTGATGTGGAGAAGATGTTTGAAAGTCCCTTGAACTGCAAGGAGATCAAGCCAGTCAATCCTAAAGGAAATCATCCCTGAATATTCATTGAAAGGACTGATGCTGAAGCTGAAGCTCCAAAACTTTGGCCACGTGATGCGAAGAGCTGACTCATTGGAGAAGACCCTGACACTGGGAAAAGATTGAGGGCAGGAGGAGAAGGGGGCGACGGAGGATAAGATGGTTGGATGGCATCACCAAATCAATCGACATGAGTTTGCGCAAACTCCAGGAGATAGTGAAGGACAGAAGAACAGGGACTGGTGTACTGCTGTGCATGGGGTCACAAAGAGTTGAACACAACTGAGCGAATGAACAACAAACTCCACTTCACTTGCAGCGCTTACCTTAACAAGCATAGTTCCTGCTCATAACGGTTCCATCTCAGGATGAATCCATTTCCTTTTGGAAAAAATAATCACTGAATATTACTTTTTGCTTATTCATTTAACATTTTACTAAATAGAAAATCTTGAATGTAAACAAAAACAGAGTTCCCTGGTGGTCTAGGGGTTAGGTTTTGGTGCTTTCACTGCTGCAACCTGGTTTCAATCCCTGGTTGGGGAACCAAGATCCTACAAGTTGTGTAGTGTGGCTAAAAAAATAAAATAAGGACAGAATAGTATAATTTCGTGAGTCTTTCAGTCTTAGCAAATATGTATCTCTTTAGCCTAGTGATTTTGAGATTCATTCAAATTGTAAAATGCATCAGTGATCCATTACTTTTATTGCTGAATGGCATTCCATTGGATTAATACACAGTTTGTGTAGTGTATTCATTCAGTAAGGAGATTTGGATTGTTACCAACATGGCAGTTATGAAAAATGCTGCTATGAAGAGTTGGGTATACATCTTTGCATAGATAAATGTTCTTATTCCCTTGGGTAGATTCCTAGGAAGAAATTACCAGACAGTTTTTCAAAGTGACTCTATCATTTCACAGTCCAACCTGCAGTTTCCGTTGTACAAACATTCCAATTTCTCTACATTCTTCCGCATGTCCATTTATACATCTTCTTCACTGAAAAGCTTATTCAAATCTATTAACTAGAATAATAGGATTTTTAATCGGAATATTTGTTGTCTTATTTTGAGATGTATATTCCAAATACAAGTCCTTTCAGATAGATGACATTTTCCTTCTGTCTGAAGGATGACCTATAATATATCCTATAGTACAGATTGGCTGGTCATGGATTATTTCAACTTTTGTAGGTCTAAAAGCATTTTTTCCCAGGTGGCTTTTCTCAGAATGTTCTGCTGAACTTTACAGTGTATCCTTATTTATGTTTGGGGAGGGGGTGGTGGTTTCCTCCTTGTCTTAAGCCCTGATAATTACCTGCTATCTTCCTTCTGAATCTTTGTGCACAGATAATTGGGAAGCCACAATCAACAGCTCCAAGATCCATTTGATAAATACCAGAAAGGAGTTTTCAGAAGAATTTGATTATTACACCAAGATATAGGCATAAATCTTTCAGGCAAAAAAAATGTTATAGCCTTACAAAAAACACAGAGCAAGCTGATAATAATTTAAGAGTATGTAAAAAGTTAAATATATACACAAAGGTTAATCTTTTCCATTTTATCACCTATGAGCTTTTAATTTACTTTTATATGTGTTTAATATACAAAGAGATAATAAATTTAAAGCCTTTACTTTTATTTTTAATACATAATTAAAAATCTGATATTATATATATAAGATGTCACATCTTAACCCATAACATCTTTTTGCTAAATGGACAAAATGTAGTCCAATGAGATAGTTACATTCTTTTCTTCATATCAAAACTTTGAAATCCAGTGAATAATTTGTACTTACTGGCATATCACAATCTAAACACTATATTTTCATCAGAAATACTTACTCTGCATTTAGAGTTCATAAAATTTACAGTTGAAAGAGTATATTCACATATGCAAGCTGTTCTAAGCATACTACAATGTTTCCCAATAACTGGATTAAATATCAGCATTTAAAGTTAAACTAAAATTCAAAAGAAAAAAAATAAAGTTAAACTAAAATTCAATAAAATTAAAAATTCAGTACCTTGGTTGAGCTAGGTACGTTTATGTGTTTGATAGCTGTGTTGAGTGGTGGCTACAGTAGTATACAGAACAGCTCTAGAGAGTAATTAAGTGGCTGGGGAACAAAGATGCTTTCAATCTTGTACTATTTCCATACATGACTTACCCAAATACATGAACAAAACATTTTCTTGTTTTAGAGAATATGGTAACTAGTAAGTTGTAGAGATCAGATATACCCTACTGGATGAATGTGGGGGCAAAACAGTTCTCTTAATATAAGTTTCTTGTAACTTAAAATGAAATTTCTAGTAATAGCATTTCATAAACATATTACAAAAGTGCTGTATCACAAAAAAATTTATTTCAAAGTAAAGACTACGTGCCTGGTAAAACTACACTATTTTAATTAATAGGATCAGAGTGTCAATGAAGATATGGCTATTTAAGGTAAATGAAAACAGTGTGAATAGTTTTGTAAATTGTGAGTAGAAAAATAAATATTTATAAATATTTTATATGCTGTGATGTGCTATGCTCAGTCATGTTTGACTCTTTGCAGGTCCATGGCCTGTGGCCTGCCAGGCTCCTCTGTCTATGGAATTTTCCAGGAGAATACTGGAGAGGGTTGCCATTTGCCATTCCAGATAATCTTTCCACCCCAGGGACCAAACCCAGGTCTCCTGCATCTCCTGCATTGGAAGGTGGACTCTTTACTACTAGTGTCAACTAGGAAGCCCAATATTTTATATATTTGATTTAAAATACTTGTATATGAACTTTAAAATTAAATTAGATACTATAAGTTTAGGCATATGTACATTTATATATGTGATTGTGCTTCCTTGGTGGCTCAATGGTAAAAAATCTGCCTGCCAATGCAGGAGACTCAGCTTCCATCTATGGGTCAGAAAGATTGAAGATCCCCTGGGAAAGGAAATGGCAACCCCCTCCAATATTCTTTCCTGGGAAATCCCATGGACAGAGGAGCCTGGTGGGCTACAATCCATGGGATCACAGAAGAGTCAGACACGACTTAGTGACTAAACAACAAATATGTGATTATATTAAATATATGTTTATAAAAGGTATTTCCATGTATGTTCATAAGTGGTATTAGTTTTATAGTTTTATTGATAGTGTTTATTCTTGTCTGATTTTAGTATTGATGTTAGGAACTTCAAATACAGAAGTGAGACCCAAGTGAAGGTTTCCTCCTTGTACTGAAACAGGCATATAACAGGAAAATTAGCACAGCATTGGCTTGAATTCTATAACTTACCTATGTTTCGGGGCGGTTGTTATTAGTCTATTCAGTGTCTGCAACACTTTTTCTCTTTTTCAGCAAATTTTTTAAATCCTGTTTTCTTAGAAAATTTCCTTCTCTCCATTGCCATTTAAAAAAATATTATATAGTTTTTCAATTGTCTCCACATCTTTAGTTATGTCTCATTTCTATGAACCTCTTCCCAGAGGAGTGAATAGAGCTTCATAAAGCCTGGAGAAGAAAAATCCCATTTTCCAGATGAGATAGACTGGGTTTCTGCTAAATAAATAAAAAGAGGAAACCATTTTGAAGAATCTGTTATATATTCAGGGGCAGGGAACATGAGGTTCCTTCTCAGTTTCTAAAAGAATCAAAGTGTGGGAAAGAAGGCAAGGGAGATCACTGTTCACTGCCCTGAGGTTAGGCAGGATAGGCAGAACTGAGTACACAGAAAATTAAAGAGGTAACATTTTCCAACAGGAACAAACTAAATTTCACAGGACTCAGCCTCCTAGAATCAAAACCCGGGAACTTACTTAATCTGGATTCCAAGCCTGGTTGAGGGGGAGAGAAGTCATAGGAAATTCACAGCGGTGGTGTTCCGGGGGATTTGAGTTAGAAGGGAATTGTGTTATGTGACCACCTCCTCTCTATCTCTTACTCCACAGCAAAATGGAAGAGTCATGAACGCACCTCATTCACACACACACAGTATAAGGAGTTGGAGGCTCTGTTTAGCTGCAACATGTTTCCAGATAAAAACCTCCAGAGAGAACTTGCTTTAAAACTCAATCTACCAGAATCAACAGTAAAGGTCTGTCTGATCATTGGAGATGTGCTTTGAACCCTCATTTAAATAACATTTTACTATTCAGCCTGGAAATTCCCTCCGGAAAACAGTAATAGTAACACTTCATTTCTTCAGTCCCTACTATGTGCGTGTCTTGATGAAAGTGAAAGAGGAGAATGAAAAAGTTGGCTTAAAGCTTAACATTCAGAAAACTAACATCATGGCATCTGGTCCCATTACCTCATGTGACATAGATGGGGAGACAGTGGAAACAGTGTCAGACTTTATTTTTTGGGGCTACAAAATCACTGCAGATGGTGAATGCAGCCATGAAATTAAAAGACGCTTACTCCTTGGAAGGAAAGTTATGACCAACCTAGGTAGCATATTTAAAAGCAGAGACATTACTTTGCCAACAAAGGTCCATCTAGGCAAGGCTATGGTTTTTCCAGTAGTCATGTATGGATGTGAAATTTGGACTATAAAGAAAGTTGAGGGCTGAAAAATTGATGCTTTTGAACTGTGGTGTTGGAGAAGACTCTTGAGAGTCCCTTGGACTGCAAGGAGATCCAACCAGTCCATCCTAAAGGAGATCAGTCCTGGGTGTTCATTGGAAGGACTGATGCTGAAGCTGAAACTCCAGTTCTCTGGCCACCTCATGCGAAGAGTTGGCCCATTGGAAAAGACCCTGATGCTAGGAGGGATTGGGGGCAGGAGGAGAAGGGGACGACAGAGGATGAGATGGCTGGATGGCATCACCGACTCGATGGGCATGAGTTTAAGTAAACTCCGGGAGTTAGTGATGGACAGGGAGGCCTGGCATGCTGCGATTCATTGGGTTGCAAAGAGTTGGACACGACTGAGCAACTGAACTGACTGAACTGACTGTGTGCTAGTATTGAGCTGGACACACTGTATTAATACATGTTGGCTTTATTATCATCTAGTTTAAAAGATGAGGAAAACTGAGGTTTGGGAGCAAAGTGACTGGGTTACAGAGATAATGCATAGTATCACTGGAATTGGAACTCCAGAGGCACAACAGAATTCACATTAGAGAAATACTGTCATCCAGACAGACTCTAATTTAGGGTCTTCTCTAGCAAAACTCTGCAATCATTTATCACAACACTGTCAATAGACAACTACAACCTTTGAGTCTGCTGAGCCCCCAAATTTTTGTTAAAATATTGTTCACTGTTCAGTTCAGTTGCTCAATCGTGTCCAACTCTTTATGACCCCATGGTCTGCAGCACCCCAGGCCTCACTGTCCATCACCAACTCCCAGAGTTTACCCAAACTCATGTCCATTGAGTTGGTGATGCCATCCAACCATCTCATCCTCTGTTGTCCCCTTCTCCTCCTGCCCTCAATCTTTCCCAGCATCTTTCCAATGCTCTTTGCATCAGGTGGCCAGAGAACTGGAGTTTCAGCTTCAGCATCAGTCCTTCCAATGAACACCCAGGACTGATCTCCTTTAGGATGGACTGGTTGGATCTCCTTGCAGTCCAAGGGACTCTCAAGAGTCTTCTCCAACACCACAGTTGAAAACCATCAATTCTTCGGCCCTCAACTTTCTTTATAGTCCAACTTTCACATCCATACATGACTACTGGAAAAACCATAGCCTTGCCTAGATGGACCTTTGTTGGCAAAGTAATGTCTCTGCTTTTAAATATGCTACCTAGGTTGGTCATAACTTTCCCTCCGAGGTGCAAACATCTTTTGATTTCATGGCTGCAATTACCATCTGCAGTGATTTTGGAGCCCCCCAAAATAAAGTCAGCCACTATTTCCACTGTTTCCCCATCTATTTGCCATGAAATGACGAGACCAGATGCCATGATCTTAGTTTTCTGAATGCTGAGCTCTAAGCCAACTTTTTCACTCTCCTCTTTCACTTTCATCAAGAGGCTCTTTAGCTCCTCTTCACTTTCTGCCATAAGGGTGGTGTCATCTGCATATCTGAGGTTATAGATGTTTTTCCCAGCAATCTTGATTCCAGCTTGTACTTCATCCAGCCCAGCAGTTCTCATGATGTACTCTGCATATAAGTTAAATAAGCAGGGTTACGATATACAGCCTTGATGTACTCCTTTTCCTATTTGGAACCAGTCTGTTGTTCCATTCATCCTGACCTGCATACAGGTTTCTCAAGAGGCAGGTCAGGTGGTCTGGTATTCCCATCTCTTTCAGAATTTTCCACAGTTGGTTGTGATCCACACAGTCAAAGACTTTGGCATAGTCAATAAAGCAGAAATAGATGTTTTTCTGGAACTCTCTTGCTTTTTCGATGATCCAGCGGATGTTATCAATTTGATTTCTGGTTCCTCTGCCTTTTCTAAATCCAGCTTGAACATTTGGAAGTTCATGGTTCACATACTGGTGAAGCCTTGCTTGGAGAATTTTGAGCATTACTTAACTAGCGTGTGAGATGAGTGCAATGATGAGGTAGTTTGAGCATTCTTTGGCATTTCCTTTCTTTTGGATTGGAATGAAAACTGACCTTTTCCAGTCCTGTGGCCACTGCTGAGTTTTCCAAATTTGCTGACATATTGAATGCAGCACTTTCATAGCATCATCTTTTAGGATTTGAAATAGCTCAACTGGAATAACTTAACCTCCACTAGCTTTGTTCATAGTGATGCTTCCTAAGGCCCACTTGACTTTGCATTCCAGGATGTCTGGCTCTAAGTGAGTGATCACACCATTGTGATTATCTGGGTCGTGAAGATCTGTTTTGTACATTTCTTCTGTGTATTCTTGCCACCTCTTAATATCTCACTGTAGAGGCCTTCTATTTTTTTTTTTTAATTTATTTATTTATTTATTTATTTATTTTTATCACAACCATAGTGTATCTTTTTTTTTTTTTTTTACATGTATTCCCCATCCCGGTCCCCCCTCCCACCTCCCTCTCCACCCAATCCCTCTGGGTCTTCCCAGTGCACCAGGCCCGAGCACTTGTCTCATGCACCCAACCTGGGCTGGTGAACTGTTTCACCCTAGATAATATATGTGTTTCAATGCTGTTCTCTTGAAACATCCCACCCTCGCCTTCTCCCAGAGTCCACAAGTCTGTTCTATACATCGGAGTCTCTTTTTCTGTTTTGCACATAGGGTTATCGTTACCATCTTTCTAAATTCCATATATATGTGTTAGTATACTGTAATGGTCTTTATCTTTCTGGCTTACTTCGCTCTGTATAATGGGCTCCAGTTTCATCCATCTCATTAGAACTGATTCAAATGAATTCTTTTTAATGGCTGAGTAATATTCCATGGTGTATATGTACCACAGCTTCCTCATCCATTCGTCTGCTGATGGGCATCTAGGTTGCTTCCATGTCCTGGCTATTATAAACAGTGCTGCGATGAACATTGGGGTACACGTGTCTCTTTCAGATCTGGTTTCCTCAGTGTGTATGCCCAGAAGTGGGATTGCTGGGTCATATGGCAGTTCTATTTCCAGCTTTTTAAGAAATCTCCACACTGTTTTCCATAGTGGCTGTACTAATTTGCATTCCCACCAACAGTGTAAGAGGGTTCCCTTTTCTCCACACCCTCTCCAGCATTTATTGCTTATAGTGTAGAGGCCTTCTAAAATAATCCTTGATTATCCTTCAGTTCAAATTCTGCAACTCTCCCTTGCTTCTCTAGAGTTCAGGACCTTTTCTCTGAGCTCCCAGCACAACCTCTGAAAAATACTTCCTTTCTTTGTTTCTTTTTCCTCCGGGGCCCAGCCCAGATCCCCCAATGTTACTATTGACTCCATTCTACCTACCTCTGCTCTTTCAGAACTCAGTATCATAGTGACTTGGAGAGAACATGAGAGTTACAATCTGATTTTTTTTACTCAGGAGAAGCCTCAAACCCCTTCTCCAGTAACAGACCATAATTTTCTCTCTTCCCCTACTCCAGATTTGGTTCAGGAACCGGCGGTTCAAAATGAAGAAGCAGCAGCAGCAGCAAGAGCAGCAATCACCAAAGCCACCAAGCCAGGTCCTTCCAGCCAAGGATGTGCCCACAGCATCAACCAGCCCTCATTCTTTTCTCCTTGCAGTTTCAGATTCCTATAACTCCCTCTCACCTCAGTCCTTAGACCCTTCCCCCTGGGCAGGGGACTCTATGATCATGGAGATTCCTACAAGTGATGTCCAAATGCAAGATCCTCAATTGGAGAGGCTAGTGGCCTCAGTTCCTGCTTTGTACTCTGATGCATTTGATATCACCCAAATCATGGAACTGTACAGTTTTCCCGATGAGGATGACATCACCAACTCTTCCTTCTATTCTCTGTATCAGTATCTCTCACCAACAAGGCCCAGTTAGAACACAGTTCTTCTCTTAGAGTCTTTGCTGATCCAGGTGTAGGTTTATTTCCTGGGCAGACCTGCTTCAGTGTGACAAGCTGGAGCTCTGCAGTCTACAGTGCACAGAACAGCCTGGAATTCCAGAACCCCTCCATTATGGTGCACTTTGGGTTTCTCTGATCCAAGTACTAATAAACATCAGACAGTATAGAAAAAGGATCTTGCATGCTCTTTCATTTGTCTGTTTTTAACCCAAACATTTGGCCCAGTGTTACTTTGATTTCCATGTAAATATTGTAAAAACTAGGGAGTTTCCCCCAAATATAGCTCAGTAGTATACAATCAGCCCTGTGACTCTTGCTGGAGAGGCCTTTCCAGACCCATAGATGGCCAATGAGACTTCAAAATTCCCTCTTCCAAAAACTACCTTTGACTTTTTAAAAGGTCAACACCCTCTAAGGGTCATCCACTTTTAATGGCAGCAGGTTTATAAACTCACATTTCAAATGTCAGCTAAGCAAATTTTCTAGCTACATGGTTAGCATACAAAATTTATAGCACTTCTCAAACCAATAAAAAAGAAACATAACAAAATAAGAACCTCTCAATGAAAAATATAAAATGTCTAGGAATTAACCAAGAAAATTAAGAACTTTGTACTGAAAACTTTCTAACTTGAATAATGGACATTGAAGATGTTTCGAATAAAAGGCATTTGAAGCCATAAAATAATCAATTTAATAGGACAAAAATCATATAAAGCATGTTCTCCAAACACAATGGGATGAAATTAGAAATCAATAATAGAAGAAATTCAGGAAATTCACAAACATAAAGATATTAAAAGGCATGCCTAAATAACCAATGGATGAAGAAATCAGAAGGAAAATTAGGATACATGCAAAGATGAATGAAAACAGAACCACAATACACCAAAACTTATGGGATGATGCTTATAATCAGTGCTTAGAAATCTATAGCTATAAAAGCTATATAAGATCTCAAAATCAACCTTTTTTAATAGGAGGGAGGCTGGCATAGTTATGTCGGTATGTTAAATTAAACTTCAAGGCAAAAAAATCTGTTGAAAGTAAAAGTATATTAAACAAAGAATAAAAGGAACAATTAACCTGAAAAATATAATAATTCTGAATGTGTATCAGTCAGTCATTTCAGTCGCTCAGTCGTGTCTGACTCTTTAAGACCCCATGGACTGCTGCATGCCAGGCAGTAGTCCATCACCAACTCCCAGAGTTGACTCAAACTCATGTCCATTGCATCAGTGATGCCATCCAACCATCTCATCCTCTGTCGTCCCCTTCTTCTCCCACCTTCAATCTTTCCCAGCATCAGGGTCTTTTCAAATGAGTAATTTGTATACAAATGAATTTGTACATTTGTCATATTCTCCAAATATATCAATTTTATTAAAAATTGATGAAAATTATTGGGGAAACTGAAATGCATAATCATAATAGATGATTTTATCCATAGGATAAGTGGATAAAAATTTAGTATGGGTAGAGATTTTAACTATACAGTTAATAAGCTCACTTTAATGAAAGTATGTAGACTTTTTCATTCATCTGGTAGAGAATACACATTCTTTTCAAGCACGTAATGACTAATAGACCATAAATCAAATCTTAACAAACACAAATGAATTAATAACATAGAAATAGCATTCTTTGATCAAAAGGTAATTTAGTTAGAAATTCTAACCTCTCCTTCATTATAAAGTAAAAGAAAATTTCTAAGTAATTAATTAAACATGGGAGAAATTATAATGTGAATAATTTGGTAGCATATAATAACAATAAATCAGCATATATGGGGGAAACTAATAGAGATAGTGAGAGTAGAAGGTTTGAGTGTCCTGATACCCATCACATTTTGGGCCATCACAGGGATCCTGCAGAGCAAGATTGCAGATCTAGGGGAGAGACATGGGCCCTTAATTTGTGAGATGTTTTAATTGTTTTTTTAAAATTACTTTTGATTTTTAATGGACTTATTTTTTAGAGCAGTTTTAATTTCACAGCAAAAATGAGGAGAAGGTACAGAGATTTCCCATATAGCCCCTGATCCCAGATACACACAACCTCCCCACCACTATCACCAACCCACACCAGAGTGGTCCATTTGTTACGATTGATGAATCTACACTGATACATCTTTATCATCTAAAGTCCAGAGTTAACATTAGGGTTCACTCTCAATGTTGTACATTATATGGATTTTGACAAATATGTAATTGTTATGCATCCACCATTACAGTATCTTATAGGATACTACAATGCCCTAAAAATCCTCTGTGCTTCACCTGTTTGTCACTCCCTCTCCCCTAACCTCTGGCAACTACTAAACATTATCTCCATAGTTTTGCTTTCAAATCAATAACTTTTTACCTTAAGAAACTAGCATAAGAAGAGCAGAGTCAATCCAAAGCAAGCATAAGGAAGGAAATAAAGGCTAAAGTGGAAACAAATGAAATAGAGAATATAAAAGCAATAGAGCAAATCAATGAAACCAAAGCTAGCCAGATTGAGAAGAAGGGGAGAAGGAGGGGGAGAGGAGTGGAAGAGAGGGAAGGGGCCAGGGAGAAAGAAGAATCAAATTACTAGAATCTGAAATGAAAGGTGGGACATAACTACCAACCTTCCAGAAATAAAAAACATTACAAAGAAATGTGTGTGCATGCTAAGTCACTTCAGTTCTGTCTGACTTTTTGTGCCCCTGTGAACTGTAGCCCGCCAGGCTCCTCTGTCCATGGGATTCTCCAGGCAAGAGTACTGGAGTGGATTGCCATTTCCTCCTCTGGGGATCGTTTAGACTCAGGGATCAAACCCATGTCTCTTATGACTCCTTCATTGGCAGTCAGATTCTTTACCATTAGCACCACCTGGGAAGCCCCTTATAAATGAATATTACGAACAATTATATAACTTTTAAAATTTGTATAACAAATTAGATAACTTGATAAAGTGGGCAAATTCCTAGGAAGACCAAAATACCAAATTTGACTCAATAAGAAATAGAAATGCTGGAAATAGAGCTTTAACTAGCAAATAGATTAAGTTAGTAATCAAAAACTTTCCACAAAGAAAAGTCTAGGCCCAGGTGGTATCATTGCTAAGTTCTACTAAATGTTTAAAGAATTAACAATCCTTTACAAATTCTTCCAGAAAACAGAACACTTCCTAACTCATTCTGTGAGACCAGTATTAGCCTGATACCAGAACTGCACAGCTATATGTGAACAATGAGATTAAAACATTCCCTCACATCATATATAAAAATAGACTCAAAATGCCTTAAAGACCTAAACGAAAGATTTGAAACCATAAGACTCCTAGAAGTGAACATAGGCAAAACATCTTTTGACATAAATCATAGCAATATTGTTTTTGATATCCTAAAGCAAAAGGAAAAAAAAGGCAAAAATTAGCAGTTGTGACCTAAAAATTTTGCACAGAAAAAGAAACCACAAAACAAAATTACAATCTATGGAATGGGAAAAAATTTGCAAATGATGTGACCATCAAGGTGTTAATATCCAAAATATACAACAGCTTAAACAACTTAGTATCAAAATAACAACCGAATCAAAAAATGTTCAGAAGACCTGAGTAGACATTTCTCCAAAGAAGACATACAGCTAACAGGCACATGAAAAGATGTTCAACATAGCTATTAGAAAAACGCAAATCAAAATCACAATGAGATATCACATGTGTCAGAATGACCATCATCAAAAAGTTGACAAATAACTTGGAGAGAATATGGAGAAAAGAGAACCCTTGAACACTGTTGGTGGGAATGTAAGTCAGTGCAGCCACTATGGAAAACAAAATGGAGGTCCCTTAAAAAACTAAAAATAGAACTACCAATTCCACTCTCAGGTCCACATTTAGAAAAAACAAAACTACTAATTAGAAAAGATACATGTACTCCAATATTCATAGTAGCATTATCTATCTATATATGTATTTATACACAGTGGAATATTACTCAGCCATAAAAGAATGAAATATTGCCATTTGCAGCAATAAGGATGGGCCTAGAGATTATCTTGCTAAGTGAAATGAGTAAGAAAGAGAAAGGCGAATCCCACATTATATCACTTATATGTAGAATACAACACAAATGAACATATCTAAAAAACAAGTTAAGAGATGCCCACTCAACCCTTTTGTTCAACATAGTGCTAGATGATCTAGGCAAAATTTACTTTCTCTAAATCTCTGCCTCCTCAAATGTAAAAAAGAGAGAGAAGAAAGTAATAGCTAAGCCTCCTACCACCTCTAGTTTTCTCACAGTGGACTTAAAATATGCCTGATTTCTGAATTACAAACTCTTCCTTTCCCAACCACCGGGGAAGGAAGAGGGCTGGAAGAGGACAGCCGCTTCCTTGTCATGACAAGAAATAGGAGAAACAGAGGGCGACATGTCACTTTCACAAGTTGCTGCCTCAGCCAGTGACAGGTTTAGGTGCAAAGCGCGGTTATAATTAGAGCAGCAGTCTGCCCTGAGTGCTCCACCAGCCACAGGGAGCACAGCTGGATCTGCCAACAGTATGCACAGGACTTGGAGAGGCTGCTCTGGCCTTGAAAATGATCCTTCTTAAAAGGATTTTCCTCCTTCCTCAAGGGAAAGAAAACCCACTGATATAAAACCCCACTTGCCTTTCGGCTTCCCCTGTGACTGCCTCTCCAGCAGAGACAGAGCGCTGATAAATACAGGAGAAAGAAAAAAAATCGTAAGCTGAGCCTGGTCACATTGGCCCTTGTGATATAGTTTTATTTTTAACTTCGAGGCACTTGAACTATTTCTGTTGAAGTTTTTTGTCCTTTCCCTACCTCCACGACAGAATTCGGTCCTCTGCAGCAGCTGATGCATGCCCAGCCACCTCCGGAAGTCTGCCTGCTCACAACCAAAGGACGCAGGTGTAGCACATGCTGACTCAGCCCGTGCCGGTAAGGTAAGCGCTTTTAGATGCGGGCAGGTTCATCAAGGGGGAATTTAGAGTGGTGAACAGGGAAGCAGAGGCTGAGCTGCCTATCACCTTTTTGCTCTGAGCAAGAGGGTTGTTAAAACAAATTAGTTACATATGAGGGAGAAAAGGTTGGCTCAGAGAATGAAACTCTGCTTTCATTTCATATGTGAACTCCTACTTTGAATCTAAAATCTTAGAGCAGCAGATTACCTGCTTTCTAACAGCTTAGGTTCTTTCTTCTGCAATCAACCATAGGAGTTATGTGGTGTCTCTAAGGTTACACAGTATTGATGGGGTTCAAGATAGGGGAGGGGGAGGAGGTGGTGATAAAACAGATGAAAGGCCCAGAACCCAGAATTTTTGTTTTCTGAAGTCTAAATGTTGTGATCTTTCCCCAATCAACATTCGCAGTGTTAATTGCAAGTCATTCTCATGTACTTTAAATTTCATCACCTGTGACACTACTGGTTAATTTAGCACAATAGTATTTACTGCATATATTTTAAAAATTCTGCTGCAGAGTTTAAAACCAGTTTTTATTTAAAAACATTTCCTAAACATGACTCATTCCTTCCCAGCTCTCCTGAATCCAAATACATTTGTGGAATAGAAGTGAAAGTATTTTACAAGCTGAAAAACTTATACAGGCTGGTAAACCAAAAATTATCACAAACTTGAAACTTGCACATCCTGAGGGACAAAAGTAAAATGATTAATGATACTTGAAGTATCAAGCACTTTAAAGTGTAGACAGGTTATTTCCAGCTTTGGGAATAACTTCATAGTGTTGCATGCACAAACAAATTGGCAGGGAGAAGGGTGCAGTGTTTATTTTCCTGTTTTCCTCTGGACCTTGCTTTAGTGTGATAGAGTTAAAAGTTCAGCCAAGGACATCCTGGGAAGTGGCCTGTGCAGCAAAAATGATTCTGTACGCTCTGAACTTTGCAGTGTACTGGCGAATGCCACCAATGCCAAGAAAAGGAGACCTACCACCAGACACCCTAATTCCTGGTTCCTTCTTGCCAGCCTCTGTAACCTCCAGATGCATCCCATAACTTTGCTATCAGTGTCTAGGTTATAATTATGCTTGTTTGCTAGGCACAGTCAAATGCACTATGTATAATTGCCTCACTTCATTTAATTTTGTCAAGGTTTCTGGAGCACCAAAGTTTTCAAGGTGTATACTGAACACTGTCCTAGCAAGATCGTGTGTTAGCTTAGCAGTAACCAACCAGACCAGTTGACTCAGAGCTACTCCTAAATAATCCGGCCATTTTGCATTTTCTTGGCCAATACAAAACAGTAATTTAAAATACTGACACTAATAATACAAGCACCAGTTATGAGAACTAATAGCTAATTAAATAACTAGAAAGTTTAAAGGTAGATTCTAGTGTCGGTAGAGAACTGCAGATGGTGATTTGGGGGAAGATGGTTTTTAAGGTATAATGAAAGGGCTGAAATCATAGCCTGAAAGCCCAGGTTTATGGGACCACATGTGGGAATTTTCCTCGGCCAACTGGTTGTGTTAAAATCTCAAGAGGCAAAGGAATTATTTGAATATTTAACTTTATACATTTTCTTTCTCTAAAATTAAATATCTCCACAGCAAGGAAACAGATTAACAATGTATAATTAAGGTAACAAATTAATTGGCTGGTTAATAGGTTAACAGTTAATCTCTGTTCTTAAACTCTTGACCTTGTCACTTCCACAAAAGTTAAAGCTTGGGAATAAATAATTATTGCCAGGGCTAGCCACATGAGGAGGCAAAATAGTTAGTCGCTGACATCATGTGAGGGGGTGCTGGGAGGGCCCCTTGCCTAAAAATATCTCCCTGACACCAACCCTGATTGTCTACTAACTTTATAGTAAAGAATGTGAAAACTATTATCTGTTAATCCCATTCTCTTTTGTTTGAGTCAGTGATTTAAATATACCTGCTGTATGCCTTCTCACGACCTTCTGGCCAGTGACTCTTTGTCACCACCCCTTCCTCATTCTTCCAGGCTCTGTCCTGCTTTGCCCTTGGTATCATCTAAGCTGCCCACACGCCCTTGGCCATTGTCACCCAGGTAGCTCTGTGTGGTACTGTGGTTTCCACAGAATTTCTTAATAAACCATCAAGGTGAAGTAGAAAAAATAAAAGCATGTGATTAGAGTCAGAGACTCTGGGGGGCATGGGCAATGCAACATTCATTCTCTGGGCTTCAGTTTCTCTTGCAGAAAATGAGGAGGTTAAACTAGACCCTTTTCATAACCCTTTGTCCTACAAGATCAGAAACTGCATTTTAAAAGAACTGCTGAGGTGATTCCTATGCACACTGATGTTTGCAAAACTCCAGAGCAGGGGATTTCTGGTTATCTGCCTGATCCAGATTTCTGATTCTATGACTGCAAGAACAAGTGCTGTAAAGTCCTACAAACAATCCTGGCAGCAGTCAGAGTATCTGTCGAAACTGGAGTCCTCTGAGTCTTTTCCGTTCAGTTAAGGCCATATTAACATAATAAAGTTGAAAATGTTTCTTTTTCTTCCTTTAAAACAAAACAGAACAACAACAAAAACAAATTAGCGTATGTGCGGCGCTGTACTGTGCTTAGTCACTCAGTCGTGTCCGTCTCTTTGAGTCCCCATGGACTATAGCCCAGCAGGCTCCTCTGTCCATGGGATTCTCCAGGCAACAATACTGGAGTGGGTTGTCATGCCCTCCTCCAGGGGATCTTCCTGACCCAGGGATCGAACTGCCATCTCTTAAAACCAATAGCGCCACCTGGGAAGCCATTTGTGGTCAACACAAGAGGCCAAAATTGTGGGAAATTAGGGAGATTCACATTCATAAAGGAGTGAGGAAAGTTTTTTTTTAAATAGAGGTTTGAGAATGATTAAACTGGCAGGATATGTAAGATCCAGTGGAATGAAGGAGAACTGAAAATTGAAAGGCTAGCCAAGGGCTGTGGGCATGATGCAATGGGAAGAAATAAGGTCTGGACAAGGGTGGTGACCATGAGAATGACCTTCTTAGTAGAGGAAGGACAGTTTAGTGGACTCCTGTATACTAAATACGTTCACTACTTTATCTCGTTTGATCCTCACACAATCCTATGGGTTATGATGAGAGCCATTTTATGGATGAATAAATTAACTTTAGGGAGATTCAGTAACTTGTCAAAAAATTACCCAGCAGAACATGTGTTCACTAATTTATTTTTATTATTTTTAATTTTTGGTTGTGCTGCACAGCTTACATGATCTTAGCCTGACCAGGGATTGAAACTGTACCCTCGGGAGTGAAAAAGCAGAGTCCACCAGACCGCCAGGGAGTCCCCTCTTTAATTTACTTCAGATCGGAGGTATCAGGTAAGACCTCTGTGGAAGTAGTAGGTAAGGTAAAACCTGAATGGGGAGAAGAAACCCATAAGTAATTAAGGAGCAGGGGGTGAATTCTCTTGGGAGAAAGAACAAGTACAAAGTTCCTACAGAAGAATGAGCAAAAGTGCTGGAACTAAGTGCTCAAGGGAGAGAGGTGAGGTAAAAGAGGCAAGCAAGGGACACTCAGGGAGGACCATGTGGGCCAAGATAAGGACATTGGACCTTATTCCTTGTGATAGGATGGGATCCTCTGAAGATTTTAAGCAGGGAAGTAGTGATCTAATGTTAAATGTTGTTAAAATCACTCTTTCTGCTGATGAATAAAGATTACGAGGCACAAAATGGGAGGAGTAAGAGTGATTATAATTCTATTGCTCCAGACTGGATGAGAGATGATGGTGCTTGGACCTGGGCAGTGGTGGTGAAGATGGAAAGAAATGGATAGATTTGCCAACTGCCTTTTCAGATCTTTCTCCCAGGCCTTCCCCCCTAACCGGGCACTAGTTTCTTTGTGATTGGGGCACAATATCAGGCTCTTCTAGCTCTCAAACTTGAGCTTACAGTACAATCAGCTGGTAGGTCTGATTCAGTAGTTCTGATTTGGTGGGGCCCAATACTGTACTTTTCTAACCAGTTCCTGGGTGATTCTGATTCTGTTGGTCTAGGTACCATATTTTAAGGACTATTATTCTAGCTGACTTGCCTTTGCTTATTAATTTACTCCTTTCTGAGTGATCCACAAAGCACCAAAACTTGCATCAAATAGTTTCTGCTCCTTTGCCAGGTTCTAAATTCTCCTCTATTTCTTTAAAGAAATATTCATCCCTTGAACTCACGTACTGCCCTTGGTCCTTCTATCTACTATTCCCCAGGCAAGAATACTGGAGTGGGTTGCCATTTCCTTCTCCAGGGGATCTTCCTAACCCAGGAATCAAACCCAGGTCTCCCGCATTGCAGGCAGATTCTTTACCAACTAAGTTACATGGGAAGCCCCTATCTACTCATATTCTATTTAAACTCCATCTAGTACAATTAGTAAAATCTAGTTCTGTGTAGATCTCTTAACTATTTAAGTATAAGTTATATAACATTGTGTCCTCTAGACAGGGGCACTTTATTTTTTTTTTAATTTTTATTTTTCAGTGTTACAGCTCTATTTATTCAGATGATAGCAGGAAAATCCATCTTCGAGGTGTGAGGGCACTTCAATCCAAAGACAGGAAGAGAAGAGCGCCCCATCGTGTGGGGGAGAGAGAGAGGGAGAAAGGGAGAGAGAGTCAAGGGGGGGGAGAGAGAATTGCGGGAGAGAGAGAGAGAGCTAGAGAGAGAGAGAGAGAGAGAGAGAGGGAGAGAGAGAGGGAGAGAGAGAGGGAGGGAGACAGGGAGAGGGAGAGGGAGGGGGAGAGAGGGGGAGAGAGGGAGAGAGAGAGAAGAGGGCTTTGGCTCCTCTTTTTATATGTTTTTTTGTTCCCCCTGGGCCTGTCCTATGCAAATTGGGCTTAGGCAGGAGCGTTGTTTGTTTTACCTGAGGTTCTCACTCAGGTCCTCGGACCTTCCTTTGTTCTATTTTCGCCGGCTTTCCCTTCCAGGTCTTTTAGCCACCGCCATTTTGGAC